AGAGAGAGGAGCACTGAGGGCTCAAAAGGAAGTAGCACTGGACTATGAGAAGGAGAAAGATAGCTAGTAGGAAGAGATAGGCTTGTATGGGAAGCTCTAAAAGACCAGACACATAAGGACAGCAATAATGGGAGGGCCAGGAAGCAAAAATATTACATCATCCAGGAGAAGATTTACAGTGGCTTTGGACATTTAATGGATTTCTAGTATATCTAGCAATGTCCTACATGATGTGTGGTGCACTGGAGCAAACGAGATGGAGACAAAAAAGACAGTCTTTGCCTTCAACCTAGTGAGTGGGATGAGTTCAGGGGAGAGGCAAGACTTCAGAAGGGGAGGGGCTAGAGAGCTGGGGCTTGACTGGCAGAAAGAATTCTACCGCAAAAAAAAAAAAAGAATTCTACCGCTCTGAGAAACAGTCTTAAACGGACAGAAACAAAAAGAAAGGCACCATGGTGAGAACACTGGAAGGATACTACAGGGTAGCAGGGGAATTAGGGCAGTGGTGGGAAAAAATTAGGTGAGGGGCAGACCAGAGGAACCCTAAAAGCAGTTGAAAAAGGATGGTTAGGATTAAAAAAAACCCCAAAACCTCCCCCAAAAACCCACAAAAAAACAAGTGTGTGCTGAGTGTTTTGAAGTTATTAGCAGTGCCTACTCTGTACACATGTCTTAATCCTTATAAAACCTCAGAAGGTAGGTGGCCATCACCCCATTTCCAGATAAAGAAAAAGAACTTCAGAGTGGTCAGTTCCCTGTTCAGGGTCATGCAGCTACTAAGTGGCAGAGATGGTATTCAGGTCCTGATGCCAAAGCTCATGCTTTTTTCTTGGAGCTTTCTCCACTGGGGCTCTGCTCTGAGCCACATTTAGAAAATTATGAGTAATGCTTTTCTGGATTCTCCCAAGTGGCATATATTTAGTATCATTTTAGATACCTGGGAGAGAGGTTAATTCCTTGTGTGCAATGGATTCCTTGGAGCATTAGGGCTCAGTTCGCTGAAGGAACTCTGGTCAAAAAAGGCTATCAGTCCGCTGCCTGCCCTGCAAGTGCAAGGTCCCGAGTTTGATCCCCGATACAAAAAAAAAAAAAAAAAAAGCTATCATGACTAGCGATATGTTTTAGGAAAGAGAGAACTACTCCCAGTGGGGTCACATTCCTGAGGGGAAATGGTTGCTGATGCATCTCAAAGGCCCTGGCATTACTGGGATGAATCAGCTCCAGGGACCTGAGGTAGAAGGCTCCGGCCACCTTCCCTGATTACTCCTCTTTCCAGTCATCCTGCCTCTCCCTCTCTCCTGCCCTTTCTTATAGCAGTCAGTTGTGGAAGCAGCAGATGAAAACACACAAGCCTATATACTTGTTTTTCTGTGGAGGGTGGCAGTAGGAGATTGGCACCAGCTAATTCAAAACTCTTCCAAAGCACTCTGTCTGGCAAATTCCTATTATCCTTCCTGATAAGACGCAAGTACTTCTTCCTTTGGTAAACTTTTTATAACTGATTCCAACTACCTTCTCACTGGGCAGAAGACAGCATTTCTTCTGTGTCCCCTGAGCCCTCTCTGTCCAGCTCCCTGCCAAAGTACCTACTCCACCATCACTGACTGTTTCCATATCTGTCTCCTCTGATGGTCTGAGAGTCTTTCAGGGTCAGGGACAGTTTGCCTGATCTGTCTTATGGCAGCATGCCTGGGGACCCACTGTCTCAGAGATGGCAGTCACATAACAGGGGGGTGATTTACACCTAGGTCTGTCTAACTCCAAAGCTTGTGCCCTTTTCATTATGTTATAGGGCTACCAAAAGATGAAGTAGTGACCTTGAGCAGTCTGTGCTGAGCCTTAGTCCACACTGTACAAGTTCAGAGGAGGAAGCATCAGAGTACACCAGGCTTCCCAAGAGAGGGAGACCTTGAAGAACCTAAGGCAGTAATGGCGAACCTTTTAGAGCTTTCAATGATACGAACAGCATGCTGTGACACGTGTGCTGTAGGTTCACCACCACTGGTCTAAGGATTTAGATGAGAAGAGAGGGGATACAATAGCACTTTAGGTAGGGTCGGTATGTTGTAGGCAGAGACAGAATTAAAAAGAATGGGGGTACAGCTGCCAGAATGAGAGTCTAATTTCTGTATTTAAGTCATAATGATAACTACCTATCATTGGGGGGGACCTACCATGTGCCTGCCAGGGGTTTTATAGATGTTATTATTAATCTTTACACCCTATGAAGTAGGTGTCATTTTACATATAAGAAAACTGAGGTGTACAGAGTTAACGTAGGTAACATGTCCAAGGCAACCCAGCTAACAAGGGGTTGGAGCACTGGAATTCAGATCCAAGTTGGCCTGACTTGGAAGCCTGAGGTGTCTTTGCTATTACTCCATGATCCACCTACTGGGCTGGAGGGGATCTGCATTATCAGCCTGATAACTACTATCTGAGCTACTTCCCAGGTCAAATGGGGATTTCAGGTCAGAGAACAAGAGCAGCTAACTCCTCTAGCTCTAATCCTCTAAGATGTGAGAAACCTAAATCCTACGGACTAAGCAATTTCCAGAAGGGTTCTGTTTGGACCCAAAAAGCACAAGCTGGCCTCTGTCTATGGTTGCTTTGGATCTGCAGAGAGAACCTTCTTCCATGTTGCCATGGCAAAGCTGATGGCAAATGCAGGCTAAGAAAGCTGATGGGCAGGAAGACAAACTTTTTGGAGAAGGTCAGCCAAGGTCAAAAGACTTTGGCAATAGACAGAGCAGGATCCTGCCTCTTGGTTGGCTAGACACACACACACACACACACACACACACACACACACACACACAAACACAGGCGGACCAAGAGTGTTCAAGGAGAGGTGGGAGGTCGGAAGCTTGTAGGCCTACAGGCCCAGAGTGTTGGCAACTTGTTCAGGTCTGGGAGGGAGAAATAAGTGAGTTAATGGTTTTAGCCCTTGAGGCTGGGAGGCTAGGGCAGGGGGAAAAATGGATGCTGGCTAAAAAGGCAGGTGGGAGAAAAGTGAAAGTGGGGGCTCAGGGCATCTGTTCCAAGTCACCAGGCAAGAACCATGCCTCTGGAAAGGCTCAAAGGGCCAGCCTTGGCCTGAAGGTGAGGGTGGAGTGAGCTTCATAAAAGGCCCTGTCCCTTCATTTCAAAGGCGTTTGATCAGGAAGGGGAGCTCGAGGGGCTCCTTGTAAAGTGAACTCTCTGTTTAGGGGCTAGGGGAAGTGGGGATATAAACCATGAGACAATGGCTAGCAGTACCGATTGATTTTTAAAGCATGGCAGAGAAAAACCCAATAGTTCTCACTCCAATTCTTAGCTACAAATGTCTCACTGGAGAGCTTTCCATAGGACAAAGTAAGAAGCAACCTGCTTGGGGAACATTTTCTTTTTTTGGGGTACCGGAGATTGAACTAGGGTCCTTATGCTTGAGAGGCAGGCGGTTGAACCACTGAGCTAAATCCCTGGCCCTTGGGGAACATTTTCTAAGCCTTGTTTCTGAGAGCAGTGAGTCCCTGCCCTAAAAGTATCAGTCATCTCAGGGAATGTCACTACACTGACCACTTTCTTTCACAGGTACATCCCCAGACCAAGAAACATTCAGGGGCAGGTCTGTGGCAGCTGGAGGCATGGGTGAAGCATGGGTCTAAAGCCAGTGTGGCTGTAGCTGAAAGGTGGTGGTAGGATTAGAGGGATTTCGGGGAAGTCCTTGGAGCCCAAGGATATCACAAGGGCTAGAAGATGATCTGGGGATGTTGGTCCTGACAGACAAAGGCTCTGGGACAGAAAGAACTTCTTGTGAAGATTGGTTTTTGAAAAAACGATAGCAGAAGTTACAGAGACGATAACCTCAGCTCATTACAGAGATGTTTTCACCAGTCGGAGCGGAAACAAAACAGAATGAACTACCAGGGAAGAAGCAAGATCTCTCAGTCTCTGACAGAACCCAAGTGAATGCCAGCCAGCCAGCCATTGGAGGGGTTTCTGCTAGGAGAAGAAGGGCAATCATCAGAGTAGCCCAGATGCTTCCAGCTTTCAGGTACCATGGAGAATGACACCTGACAAGGAGGAACCTGAGGTCTAGCCCCCAGTATAGGTCCCTGCTCTCAAGAAGTGGCAGGGAGGCAGGGAGGGTGTGAACAGGCAGTTCTGTGCCATGTGCTCAGTCAGAGACCTATTCTCCATGCTTGCTGGCAAGACACTTCCCTGCTTCTCCCATAGGCTGGGCTAGGATAAGGGGAAGTAGAAGGGACTGTGATTGTTTGGGGGGTCGTCTGGCAGGTAACTGTACCAGACTTGGATAAGACCCAAGTCTGGAGTGGCGTATAATGTTCATCTAATTAAAGTGACAATCTTAAAAGGGAGAGTATCCATCATTTAGCAAGTATTTATTAAGTACTGACTACTAAGTGTAAACATTAAGGGACGCTTAAACAAGTCAGCCATAGTTCTGGTCTTGAGGGAGTTGAGGCTTGAGGAGTAGTTGAACAAAAGCAACATTTGCATACTGAATAAATGCAAATAATCTTAGATTGTGCTAAGTGCCATAAGAGGAAAGACTAGGGTGTCCCTAAGAGTAACAAAAGGACCTAACCAACACAGGTTGGGATGGGATCAAGGAGGACATCTTTGTGACCTGCATTAGGAGAGATTTGAAGAGCTTTTCCCCTCATCCAGCTTTAGAAATTGTGGAAATAAGAGAGGACACTTTTGAGGAGAGCAATAATCAAGAAAACTCTCATAGCTTTTGAAGACAGGCTGGCTGGCATGGAGCATCACATACACATGCAGGCACCATCTGGCAAGCACCACCCACTGGAAAGCAAATCTCATGTGCATATTGTCAGTCTCAGGAAGTATAAGTATACTCACTCTCAAGGCATGTCTAGCTCAGGGAGACTAACAGGGTGCTGGGGAAGCCTGGCATTTCCAGGTTAGAGAGCCTCCCAAGTACCCTCTCCCCTGCCAATTCTGAACTGCCCCATCCTCCACTCAGCTCTCACCTCCATCAAGCAGCTCCTTGACGGTGCGGTAGTCATCAGCAAGGACAGCGTAGTGCAGGGCTGTACAGCCTTTGAAGCTGGCACGGTTGTTTAGTCGGTTATTGAAATCATCCTCTCGGGTGACCAGGACTGGGGGAGACAATAAGATAAACCCTTAAATTAATAACAAATGCATGAGCCACCAATTTCATCTATTTTCTTTTGGGATTTCAATTCACTCACTCGTCCACCTACTTACTCAACATTAATTCATACCTATGCTATGTGTTTGGCCATCTGTGCTGGGCAAGAAGAGGCAAACCAGAGGGTGGTTAGTTTCATGAATGATTACTGACATCTAATATGTGTTAGGATAAATCTTGGGGACATGAAATGAATCAGCTATGGTCTCTGACCTAATTGGTCAAGGGAGGCAGACAATGAACGAATGTTGAAAGTATTGTTTGAGATAAATACTATAAGTATAATGGGATACACAGAAAGCCAGGGGAGGGCTGGGGATGTGGCTCAGTGGTAGAGTACTTGCCTAGTATATATGCAAGGCCCTGGGTTCAGAACCCAGGTCTATTCTGAGTCCTCATGCTTTCTTTCCATCATTTTGCAAAAGGGGGAAGCAGAGCCCAGGGAAAGAAGCAGAGCCCGGATGTTCTGGTATCAGCCTAGGCTCTTATTTCTTTTCTTGCTCAGGTGAAGGCACAGGTACTCTGTAGAACCTGCCCTTAACAATAAATGGCCTGAGGTTTGTAGCCAGCACCCTATCAGATATGCTAGCCTGGGTGGAACCACTTTAAATGTTTGGCCAGAATGAGGTTTGGGGAGCCTGCAGCTGGAGACCAGAACATATTCTCTGTGTTCTATAGGATCAATAGTAGATTAGCTCTTCTATTCCAGACAGGGGATCTCCAGATCCTCTGGGGTACTGTATAGCCCTTTTTTGAGTCAAGAAGAACAGGAAGGAAGAAAATCTCTAGGCAGCTAACATACAAGTGTCATGTGCAATGGATCCTCACTTTTCCCATAAGAGATCCTTAGGTCCTCAATCTGAGATTACTCTTAGTCAGAGTCTTAACAAATCATACCTGGTGATCTTGTTTCTAGCTCACTGCAGATAAGGACAAGGAAATAAGAGGGCTGGGGAGGATGCTTTAGAATCAAGTAGATTGATTACAATCAAGCCCTGGCCAGATAGGGAGGGAAAAGAAAAGGACAATGAAAAGCTGAAAAAAGGAATTCAGAGCACAGAACCTGAAAAGGCCCTAAGGGCATCACTGAACTGCCACATAGGACATTAACTGCTGGATATAATGATGAACCTGAGGAAAAGTGATAGTTGGCAAGCAAGAAGGGTGTAATCCATTTTACAATGAAAACCCATCATTCGTTCAACAAGCAATGTTTAATGTGCACCAATGCATGGTGGTAACTTCTAGAGATATAATAAAAAATAAGACATAATACCTGACTTTAAGACGTTATTAACTAATAGTTAAAAAGTCAGACAACTGGGCCAGGGATTTAGCTCAGTGGTTTCGCCGCCTGCTGTGCAAGCACAAGGACCTGAGTTCGATCCCTGGTACCAAAAAAAAAAAGAAAAAGTCAGACAACTGACCAAATGTTGAAAATTAGTGAATTTAATATATATTCACAAGTGCAATGATGGCTCTATATACAGGGTGCTTACCATAAAAAGCAGAAGACCTAGGGCGGGGGATGTAGTTCAACAGCACAGTGCCTGCCTGGCAAGCGTGAGGCCCTGAGTTCAATTCCTGGTACCAAAAAAGAAAAAAAAAAAAGAAAAGACTCCCCCCCCCCTCACAAGGCAGATGACCTCAAGAAACACAGTTGGAGATATTTTGGTTCAAATATTAGCAGCGTACCAGTGTCACAGCACAGCTAATAAGCAATGTCCATGAAAAGAACTCCTGCTCACCTCTAGGTCTCATGCCTCACTATCTCCTTCCTAATACCCTTTCTTGGCTCTGGGATTTTGAAAATACTATAAGGGGGTGACTGAAATATGTAGTGAATATTTAAATTTTAAAGAAATTTATTAGAGTAAGACACAGTGTCATTAATCCCCCTGAAAATATATATTCTCCCTCTCTCTGAACATATTTATCCCAGTGTTCTTGCCATTTTCTGGAGCAGTTCTAGAAGTCTTTTTTCATGAGTGTCTTCAGTTGCACTGTTGTAGCTGTCATGATATCTTTAATCAATTCAAAATGTTTACCTTTCATGGTCATTTTAACTTTGGGGAAGAGCCAGAAGTTCCACAATTCCAGATTCAGTGAATAAGTGGATGAGGGCATATCAAAATGTTTTCACAAGCCTGCCTTTTCATTGGATGGCAGTTGGCAGTGGTATTCGCTGTATTTTTGATTACACCTCGTAAAGACACTCATGAAGATGACCTACAGAACTGCTTCAGAAAGTGGCAAGAATGATGGAATAAGTGTGTCTGAAATGAATTAATGACAATGTGTAATATACTAAAAAATAATCATTTTACTGTATATTTTGATCACTCCCTGTATAATGTTACCTGGAATATTTTTGTGTTCCTTGAACCTTGTAATTGGCTGACTCCAATTTGATTTTAGGCCTCTGGTAGAAGTCACTTTCTCTAGTGGTTCCTCTTAAATCTGTGGTAGTTACTGCTCCTAAGAGCTCCTCCAATCCCTTAGGTATGGACTAATTATAGTGGTAATTTGGTTTATGAACTTAATTTGTTTTATGATTTTGGGGAAGATGGGGGCATTTGTGTTTGTGTGGAGAAAATGGTCAGGGCAGTGTTTGTCATTCTATGAGGAGGAGTTTGTGAACAGAAGTGTTCATGAACTGATGCATTACTGTACAGTGTTCATTACATTCTATTGCAACCACTTGCTTAGGTGACTGTATTTTTCCCACTTTTCCCAAAGTGCCATGAGGACAAGCAGTGTGATTACCTTTTCTTCAGTTGAACCCCAGAGCCCAGCAGTGTCCGGCTGCAAATATGTATTTGGTAAATATTTGTTGAGTCAACAAATAAATATAAGTCAAATGAATGTCCCTAATTTGAAAGTTGTAAATCTAAAATGCTCTAAAATCCAAAACTTTCTGAGTGCCAATATGGTGCTCAAAAAGTTTCTGATTTTGAAGCAGTTGGATTTCAGGTTTTTGGATTAGGGAAGCTCAACCAGGAAAAGCTATGCAAACACTCCAAAATCCAAAAAACATTCCAAAAATCTGAAATATTTCTGGTCCCAAGCAGTTTGGAAAAGAGATATTCAATCTGTATAATTATCTAAACAAGGCCTTAACATATATCATCTTTGTTTTCAGAATAATAATAATGATACCATCCAACAAGTATATAGGGGAAGCAGCAGAATGTGGCTGTTAAGTAAGTGAGCTCTGGGGCCAGACCACTTGTGTAGGAATCCCAGTTCTGAATTCACTGAGTGGGTAATCTTGTGCAACTCACCTAACCTCTCTGTCAACTTTCTTTATCTGTAAATGAAGATAATAACAGTAACAGCTTCACAGGATGTTGTAAGGACTAATAAGCACTATGAATAAAGGGGTTTGGTACAGAGTCTGGCATATCGTACCTCTTAATAAATGTAAACTATATCCCTTTCTGTCTACCCTTGGGATTTCAAAAGTGTATTCTCAGTGTGGGGACAAAGTTTCATTGGGGAATCCTGAATATACTTTTCTCCTCAGAAAGGCAAGGGGAACAGGAGAATATAGGACTGAGGTAAGAACCATCTGTTTCATTTGGTGTCCTCATCAGTTTCTTGTTTGATGGCCTTTTTGTTTCACAAACCCATATGCAAATCATGCAGAACTGGTGTTCTATAGAACAATCTTTGGAACTGAGTAGTGCATCACAATCTGTATAGCACTGTCATTTCCTTTTTGATTTCAGAATAATCCTGTGGAGTTTAAATTTATGCTCCTATTTTATAGAGGAAGACACTGAAGTTCAGAAGGATGACAAAATCAGTAGTAGAGCTGGGACCCAGCCCAGTTCAGCGGAGCCGATTTCATGCTCTTAGCATTAAGTGCTTTCCCCGTATCACCCAGTATTATAAGCCCTGCCCCAGAAGATCTTGCCTTATCTCAAGCCAGAAAAGGGCCAAAAGTGAAATGGAGCAAGGAAAAAGGAGCAGCATGGCCTCAAATGCACCTCCCACTCACCCCATCCTCACTGAGTTAAAGTAGGCAAACACACGGAAGTTGAAGGGATTCATCCAAGCCTGCCCGGCAGCTGGCCACCAAGGTGGTCTTCGGAGGCTCCATGTTTACAGCTGGTCCTCAGCCACTGAACCGTCACCTTCCCAACAAAGACATCTACCAGCCTGTCTCCAGCACAGGGGGAGACAAGCACAGGCTCCTGCCTCCCTTCCTAGGCTGCCATTCTTATCTCTTCAGGGATCCTACACCCTTCTGACCCAGGAGTGATGAGGCATCACTCTGCTCCCTCCTCCCTCCACTTCTGCCTTTGATGTTGAGAAGTCTATGCCTAGGTGCCATGGTCAGTCAGGGTCAGCCTGGGAGTTTGTGGCAGTCTATACCCAGATACATATCCTGCAGGAGCCCTGGCCTCACCAGGGCAAGTCAGCAGAGGTGAAGATGAGTCCCTGATACCCTTTACCTTAAATAACTGCTTCTCATTATGAGATGAAGTGGTTCTTTTTTTGTGTGTGTGGGGATTGTTTGTTTTTTTGTGTTTGTTTTTTCAGAGGTGCTAGGGAGTGTCCAGGGCTACATGAAGGGTGACCAGACCCAAAGCCTGCCTGGGCCACTGCTCTGTCTGCCATACTGCACAGCTTCTGCTCCCAAGCTTAAGGCTTGCATAACTCAGAGCCAGCTGCTATGACCTGAAGCGTAGTGACTAAGCTAAGTTCTGAGCAGAGTCTTCAGAAGGAAGCTTCTGGGATCTTAGTTTCTTCCCACCCAGGGCTCTGACACTCTAGGGCAAAGAATTCACCTGAGGCATCATTAGTGCTTGCCCCCTCTTGCCACTGCTCAGGAGCCCATCTACAGTGTGTTGTGTGTGTGTGTGTGTGTGTGTGTGTGTGTGTGTGTGTGTGTAGGGGTGTCTTGATATCTGGAAGACCAGATTCCCCAATGTGGATGAA